TTAAAGTGAAAACCCGGATAATATGAGGATCTTTGACTGCTAAAAATGAAAGAGCAAATATTCTATCCCAAAAGGTGGAGCAGTCTTGAAGAAAACAGGTTACTCCCCCTCCTCCCCTCAACACTCTTTAGTCCCACAGAATGACTGCATGCTTCAGCACAGATTTCTCTGCTAGTTGGATCCCAGGAGGCCTTATTGAGTGCAATGCTGCTCGGGGAGTTGCAGCTGTATAAAGTGGGGGAAAAAAATGTAGTTTGTACGAATTGTTCTTTACCTTGGTTTGGGTTCAGCATGGCAGCTGCACTCCGACTTTGTGTGTGACAGCACAAAGGACAGCAAAAGTGAAAAGCAAGTCAGCAAGTAGAGAGACAAAAGCAACGATCAGCTAATACAGCTCCACATGGCCTAACTAATTTATGAGAAAAAAACTCTTCTGTTCATTGGATCAGCACTCTGAGGAGGCAGGTGGAATTGTAGGAAGTTTTCATTGAGTCTCTGGAGCAACTAAGGAAGTCACTAGAGATTCTTCTCAGTTTGAACTTTATCAGGGTCTACGCTTAATCAATATGGTATTGGAAAAAGAATTAATTACTAAAGCAGAATAAAACAGCTGCATTTTAAACTAAGGATCCATCAATTCAGTAATCTTCCAGTTACAGGCTAGGTGCCGTGAGGATCATTTTGACTTCATGTAATGAGGAACTGAGGGAGTTTCCTCATGAACAGGCTGGGAATTCACATTAGCCTATTTCAGCTATTTGTCATCAGTACAACTCATTTCTCCCCTTCTGAATTACAATTTGTATTTGATATACTGTCAAACCCACAAAATTCCCATATTCATGGAACTGAAAGCATTAATGTGGAAATCATTGTCACCATGAGAAAAAGTCTTAACCTTCCTGAGCCTCTTTATTCTATAGGCTGCGGCTCAAGTGGTTTCATGCCGGACATACCTCTATTGTGTTCATTGTGAGGGTCAGGGACCTGCCTGTTGAAGAAGCAGTAATTTGAACACAGCCTGTAAATGTTTCATCTGTAATTTCCATAATGGTGAATTTCAAGGAGGGCTGAGAAGGGTTATGGGAGATGAATTAGGTTTTTAGTGAGCTCATTAGGAAGCCAAACAGAGTTTAGACAGCAAGGCGGTGAGTGTGGCTGTAATCAGTTCTGCTCGCTTTGTTCCCTGCCTTCGGGACATTTTTTGAAAACTTCATGGCAGGGGCTGATGAGAATATACTGAGCAGAGGCTGCAATCTGATGGTTGACTTGTTGATTTGTAAACCTCTTAATTCATTTTTTGTTCAATTTAATCTTTTCTTTCTTAAGGAAAATTAGTTGAATGTTAGCCCTCTTTGCACTATTCACCTCTTAAATTATGCTCATTTTGAGGAGCTTGTTATGCCTGAATAAACATGAAATGACTTGGCATTTTCCCATAAGAGGCACACCCATTTTAATACCATGTATTTACCATTCCTGGAAATGTCTCATTAACTTCTGAAAATCTGTGAGCATGATATTTTTGGGCTACTGTAACACACCTCTTGGCAGTCACAGAAGGCAGTTTGGTTAATGCCTCATAATATCCATTTTTATTCTCAACATGAAGAAAGGCTCTCTATAGAAAATTGATGCAGTTTGCTCTGCTAATTTTCATGCTCATTCCAATTAATTTAACATGACCCAGATTTTCTTCCTCGGGCTCATCCTGACTAATTAGTAAGGCAACACCTAGAACAAGTTCTGTTTAATAACATTGAGGAACACTAGTTGTGAGTGATTTTGATGCTAATAAAGATATTCACTGATGGGACAGATATTTTATGTCAATTATAGTATGTAATTTAGAAGTCCCTATGTGCTGGATAGAGTATAGGAAGGCTGGCAAATCACTGTGGGAGATATTTTTTCTTTTTGTTAAAAAGATTTCCAAATCACCTAGCTATCCTCAGGGACCAATTAGTTTTTTTGGGTTTTTTTTTTTTTTTTTGGTGCAACTAGTAGTATTGTCAACTAATTCCACAGTAATAGATGGGGTGGTGCTGCTAAGGATGTACAGTCTGTGAACAATCAACAGCCAGGGCCCAGGCTTGCACAATTTACTGAACCTTTATCACGTACAGGAAAAGCCACCATCGGTACCAGAAAGCAGCACCATCAAGGAGAAGAGGATATCTGTCTCACCTCCTTGATATAACTTTTCTTTTCTTGCCATTGTCCAGGTGAATCTGTTTTGCAAGAAATAAACAGGGTTGAAAAGGGGGTTGTGTTAGTGCCTCGTAACTGAATTGTCAGTGCTGGTGTTAATTTCAGAAAAATGGCCCCAGACCTGCACTCCATGTGATAGGGCTGGTGCTCATGAAAGTGTCCTGGCTGCAGAGAGACCAGCAGCACAGGCAGATCTTTGTCCCTCCAAGCACTTCTTCCTGGGAAAGCTGGCTTGCTCCGTGTGCGTAATCCCCAAAAACAGAAAGACAGCATGTGCAACAGGGGAAGTGAGGTCCAGAAAGTGTTTTGGCATTGAGTTCATCAGAGGTAGAAAGAGGAAATGACGAACCTCGATTTTCCCCTGGTCTCTCAGAACAAATTCTCACATATGCTGCAGGAAGATAGAGACAGGATAATAATGCTGTTCATGCTTCAGGATTTTGGTCAGTCACAAATACAAAAAGCTGCCCAGTCTCTGCACTGAAATTACAATGCTAAGACTTGCTTTTGCTTCTAGTAACAAAAATGGAAATCCTGCTATTTAGCTGAAGAAGAAAAGAAATAAGATGTCCTTGTACATCTATTTTGATCACAAGTATTATGTCCAAGAACCTGCCTTCTAACAGAGTATTTCAGGATGTTCCCTTTATGATACGCATTTAGAAATGAAGAATTAGCAAAAAACAATAGGCATGCTCAGACATGAAAAAATGTAATGCTCAAATGAGCACAGGAGTGTGGTGGCATGTTTGGATTTAAAAGTAGTAATATATAATATTCACTTATATAAGAGCCACCACCAATATCACGTATTACTTTCTAAGCAGTTTTCATTGAAAGCTGTGTCCTTGCTTATTTGAGAAGTTAAAAATATTTTGCTTAAAATTTACTGAAGGTAACGTTCTGAGCCAGTAACAGAAAAAGGGAATAGAATACCTTGTGTTAGATAATGCTATTAGCTATCTCAATTCTTATGTGCAGTATAAATCTCTGTTAAGTTTTAAAACCTGACATAGTAAAACGCAGGTAAAAATATCTTAAGTATAAAATTGCAAGCAGGGGGTTAATGTCTTTGAGGCAAATCTTAATTGCTGAGATCCTATTTGGTAGGATTTTGTTTCGTTTTGTGGGCTTTTTTTTTGTTTTAGTTTGATTTTTTGGAATTTTTTTTTTTTAGTAATAATGCCCTTTCATTGGCATTATTTCACCAAGTTTTTAGGAAGAGGGGGAGAAGGAGAGAGAGAGAGAGATGGAGAGACTGTGTGAAGTTTCTTCTAATGCATAATGTATTTAAATTCTGTACTTTCTGGATTGATGCCACTAACCAGCTCAGAAATGATTCCTGTTTCCTCCTTACAGACTTGCAGTAAGGAGTCAAAGATGACCATGTCTACTCTCATTCCTAGCTGGTGTCAGAACATGACAATTCTGTTGTTCTGGGTCAGTGGTGAATAACTCACTCAAATGGTGCAAAGTCAGCCAGTTCTTAATTTTTTATCTCCTCAAGAGTGCATTCAGTGACTTTATCACTGAGAAGAATGACTCCCCTGCCTAGTGTGATCAAGATCTGGAAATTTGTTGCATCAGCACATTTAGCCTGGACTGCTACTTGATTGGTGGGGCTTATATTTGATCTTATGGCAGACAGGTCAGCTCGCTGGCTGGCTAGGTGAGCCTAGGTCCAGAGGGAAACTCCATTTTACCCATCTGAACCTGAAGGAAGGGGAGTCTCTTAACTTGCCAGGCTTTTCATTTGGGGTCCCTACATGTAGGCAACACTAACTCCTTTGAAGTAGAAAGTGGGGTGATGTAAGCTCTCTGGACCCCAACTTGTGAGGCTCTTCCCTAAAAAGAGCTCATGGACACAAATGAGTTCTAGGCAGACTTTGTAGACACTTCATATTTGTGTTTTATAATATTTTCTGTAAAAGTGAAAGACTTGAAATTACAGGTTATGAGCAAAAAAGCAATGCATCAGGTGTCAGAGTGGGTGTCTGTGCTTTTGAGTTTTGCGCTGTGAACTTTTTAAAAAATAGAGTTACAACAACTTGGTACCCTGTGGTTTTGCTATTTTTATGCTTCCTCATTTTCTAAATCCACGTCATTGAAACTTTTGTCAAAAGCTTTTTCCCCTGTTTCTATGGAATTATGTGTATGTCAATACTTTCAATCACTTAAAGCGGCCCAAAGCATCTTATGGAACAGTTTGGCTGCAGAGAGAGGTGGCCATAGCCATTCCTTCTTTTTTGCTTGCTTTTTAATCATATTATCCTGATTTAAAAATCAGTAAAATTATACAATGGAAAAAAAAAATTGCTTGTCTGCCTTTCTGATATCATAAAGATATCTGTCAGGGACTATGAGCTTTAGCTCCCTTGTGCTTGCTCTTTTTGTCCATCTACTGAACTTCAAAGGAAAGAAACATTTCAGGCCTTTCCAGTAACCACTTATAAGCAGCCAATATGTACAGCACATGAGGTGTAGATGGTTTACAGTTTACGTTTACGAGGCTTCTTGGAGGAAAAGACTTCTGAAAAATGGTACCCACAAAAATAAGGACGGGCAGGTCCAAAGCACGCAGTTGTCATCTAGAGAATGATTCACGAGTGGGAGCAAGATTTGATTGAGTCCTTTGTTTTGGGCGCCAAGTAGCACATCACTTATAAAGAGTATTAGTTGTGTTTCCAAATACAGAACACCCTATATTTAAAGTACGGGCTTTAAATTAAACCTGCAAGAGCAGACTGTCAGTGTTCCCACGTAACCCTTCACATTCTGGCGTTTTCCAGACTGCCAGCCAAATGAACACTTTAGGAGGAGGTGCATATATATGTCCGCAGCACCCAGCGGGTTAATCCACCCTACTGTGCATAGGTGTTGGAGCTCTTATGGTATGTAAGACTTGCCAAGTTTGGAGATGTTTTGTACTTTTAAATTTTTTTCTGAACTATGCATTCACAGCAAGCATCTCTTCTTATGCTGTTCAAGAGTTTGTGAATGCATATCAAGACAGCACTTTCATTTGTTTTACGTAAAACACACATTCGTGTACATTTTATCATCAGAAAAAGTTTTTATGGTTCATTTTGAGACCTTTCTACTAAAACATCTTTTTTTTTTTTTTTTTAAAGCATTTAGCCATCCTTCATTTTTTTAAAACACATCTTAAAATAGATAAATGTGCATTTTGGACTTGTGACCTAACAAGTGTCCTTTTCAGTAATTGGAGCTTTTAATTTAGTATGTCTCAGGAATAACTGTCTGTTACATTTCTAGTCCTTTTTTTTTAATGATGAAAAAATCTTTTCCATGTGTACCCATATGGAACATTTCAGCAAGTGCTTTCTTAATAACTAAACAGCCCTGAAAAAAAAGGTTTCTAATGTGGACAGTACTTGGACTCTTGCTGTACTAGTGGGCATCATTTTAGGGGCTGTCTCCTGGACAAGCAGTTGTTGACAAACAGCATAGGGTCTAAGGGGAAGACATTAAAGATGTGCAAGACATTGAAAAAAAAAAAAAAAAGTAGTTTATAACTACTTTTAGCAACTCTAAGGAAAATTGAGATGCTATGATTGCTATTTTCCTTTTAAAAAACCCAGTCATTTTTGCTCTTAAAGAAACTACATTAATGATTTAATGAAGAATGGTGCAGGATGTTAGTCATCATCTACTTTTAAGTTCTCACATTCTGCTATATATAAACAACTGCAAAATAGTAAAGGTTAAATATTGATGAACTACAACTGAACTTAATTACTTCAACTGCAGGTAGAATTTTAATTGAACTTAGCTATTTTGCCCCTATTTGATATTATTCTAATGATAAAAGTAACAGCATAACAAATAAAAAAAGCTACTTAGAACAAAATATAGCTCTTTAATGTATAGCTTTATACAGTTGATTGAGAAAACGAAAAACATTATCCCAGAACTAAAAAAGGAAAATAGTCTCTTAAAGGAGATGTGCTTTCAACAAAAGAAAAATATTTTTTTTGTCTCCTGATTTCTTTAATGACTTGTTATTGTTGCCTCAGCTGTAGTCAGTCTGCAGCTGGTATTCTTAACAGAATTACTATGAGAATGCCAAAAATACTTATCTAAAAATATATTTAAAAAACATTTAAAAAGAATGCCACTAAAACTGCAGCACAAGGACACTTTGTATGGCAGTTTTTAGTAGGATGAAAAATTTAAACAGAATAACAGCTATTTACATTCACACTGCAAAGTAATTACTGAAGCATATAGAATTCTTAAACCTACTTTAATAATGCTTTCCTTCAGCCTGGATACCAAAAACTGGGAGCACACTTACCAACTTGTACTGAGGTGGGGAGGGTGGGAATTGAAGTTAAAACCATGTAGAAAAAAGTCTATTGAACACTTTCCTGGTGAGGTACAATGTAAGTTTCATTTTTAAATAGAAGAATATAATAAATCAGCATAAACCACATGTTTTAATGAGTGTATCTCCTCTGGAATTGTGCAGTGCTTGCAATTCTCTGTGACCAAGGCATGGATCTGGTCTTAGACTTCTTACTCAGGCAAAACTGCCATTGACATTAATGATAATTTTGCTTGAATAGAACAAAGTACTTGATGGGAGTTGTGCCAGCATGAGGGGTGCGAGATTAGGATAAACGTGCAAAAAAGTACAACTTCAAATGGCTGTACCTTTGACTTCTACAGCTAGCATTTCCTCCAACTACAAGGATCTTAATTATAACATTTTCTGGTTCAAAGATTAACATTTAGCATTCTGGGAAAGACTTTCTGGACTTTAGTAACCTGATCAGCACGGTCTCCTTTTGGTCTCTGCCTCTTTCTGGTTCTTTGTATTGCAGGGGAGATGATAGTATCTGGCACATTCCTCGGATGTCTTGAAGATAGCAGCCTTCTGTGTTTGGGGCTGAAAGATTGTGAACTCTGTGTTAGCAGAAATGCCACACAGGGGAGGTGAATAGAACATTAAAAAAGCTTTAGCTTTAGGTACTGCACCGCAAGCAGAGTTGAATTTGAGAGCTGGGACTTAAGTGGACATTTGTCCCTGCTTTCTTCCTTAATAAAATCTGAGTGTTAACTGTGGGTAAGGGCATTTGAGAGATCACTAAAAATGAATCATTGAGTGCCCAGAAGAGCTTTATTATGATATACTACGGAGAACTTCAGAATATACCTAGTACTTTTTAAGCGGTTATCAGATACATGTAGGAGTTACTATTATGGAAGTGAATTATTTTGTCCTTCGCTGCAGAAGCAAAATAATTTGCCAAATTAAAATGTCAAAATAAAACTCATCAAAAGCTGGATCTGTGTGGTCCTTTCTGGCCCTGTGCTCCCATCCAATTTTCTTTTGCCCCATGAAAAGCTATTGAGTAAAAAATCACAAGCACCAACCAGCAACGTTTGTTGTGTTTGTGTATGTGTAGTCCATTTTGAAAAAGCCTGATGCCATACTAAATCTGGGGGGAAAAAAAATCTCAGTGCAGAAATCCTGACTGGCCAAATTGGTTTTTAAAAAATTACCAAATTTTTAAAATCCCTAGACTGATATCAGGTTCCAGTACTGAGTTCTTGTAGGAAGAGGCAAGAGAGGTTGCTTAGTTCAGTTTGTTTGCCTCAGAAGCAATCAGATAGAAAGAATTATTCTGCTCCCGAAGTTCTGCATAAGTGTTGCCACTGCCCAGTTAACCAGTGTGAAAATACCATGGAAAATAAATTATTAAACTATACTGTTATTACTAACTTGCCAGTTCCAGAGAAACAAATGCAGCCACATTTACATATGTGTCCATCTGTCTGTTTTTACACTTTATGTCTTCAACCAGTGGGTGAAATTGTTTTAATCCAAGCTGCAGTCTATTTTTTTTTTAATTTGTTTTTTCCCCCTGCTGATATTTTTCTCTGTATGTTATTTGTAGATGGACATGCATATTCTTGACAGTAGCTAGTCCTTAATTGCCCCTTTAAGTAACCTAATCTATCTGGCCATGGTAGTTTTAACTGGAGTATGCAGCAGAGTTCTCCATGGATAATTTTCGTTAGTTAGCAGATTGTTACCATCTCAGTGTTGCTGAAATCCCTAATCTCAGGTCAGCGTGAAGCTGCAGTGGTTACAATCCTGTTGCCTGATGCAGTGTGAATGGAAGTGCTTTCTGTCAGAAACATGTGGTCTCTTCAGTGGAGAGCCTGCGTAAATCCTGTGTAAATAGAGGGAGGCTAACAAAGGATGAGCCCCTGCAGCTCAGAGCATTTGGAGCCATTTGGAGGCTGAATTTGCTAAATGCTGCTTATACCGCCTGAAAAGTTGAAGAGAAAGGAGCATAAAATCCCTTCTTTTTTCTCTTTCTGCTCCTACCCTGGGGGGAGGGTGTTAAGGGCCAGGGAAGCCTGAGGTAAGCCTATGAAGACTGTTTTTTCAGTGCTCTTTTGAGTGTGAAAAAGGTGGCATGGGTCACTGTCCCCTCTTTAATGTCGGAAAACCCACACAGTTAGTAAATGTTGCATGTAAACTAAAGCATTTCATCCCTTCTCCTGCACTCCACGGCAGTGGGCCATGAACTAGTCACTTGAAAATCGCAGAAAAATTTCACTTCAACGTGTCTGGACAGTTTAGCACAGCAGGAACGTAAGAGAGATCAGTAATTAGCAGGTTGCTTTACTGTTGTTCCCCTTGTCTGCATTGGAACACTTTTTTCACCTGATGAGAAAAAATGTTGGATTGCAATGAACGAACCATGAACCTGCTGGCTGTATAAAGGAGCTTAACATTTAAACTATGGTTTATTAATTTTCTCTTATATAAGCTACAAAAATACATTTGTGACGTTTGACAGAATTTCTAAGATTTCTCAATTCACTTTACAAATAAACATGAAATCTAAACACAGACAATTAAGGACACAAAAAGGCCAGTCTTTTTCTTATTTTTGGACAGAAAAAAAGTAAAAGGGGAAATGTGAACCTTAACAGTTCTGAAAATAATTTTGAAATACTTAGATCACTGATTTTATAGCATGCATGGCTATAATAAGAGCTGAAATGTCATTCACATGTACATCATTCCTATTTTGAATAAATAATAAAACATTTGTGAATTTCTTTTTGCAAATAAGATATGTTAGTGACTCTAGACAGGTGCCTATCCAGAAACAGAAAATAAACAATTTTCATTCTGTCTCTTGTAAATACACTTTATATACAAGATACTGTGCAAGTCCTTAAGCCTTTAACACATATTGCCAGATGGCATTAGGGACTTGCTCCTCAATGACAAACTATGCTAAGTTGTAATTAGATTACATAGAATAGCTTTGTATGTGGGGTCTGATAGCATCTTAAGTTTTCTTCCTATTTGAATTTGCAATAATTATTAATTCATACATGTCATCTTTGCATTATCAGCCCAGTGGAATCACTGGGTTTTATTCTGGAAAGCAAAAGAAGAACTTGAGATGAGACCAGGTCTTTGTGACCTTCTAGAAGGGCAACAGGACAATGTCTTCTGTAGGAAGAGAGATGGTAGTGGTATATGTCTGAAATTTTCTCCTGTTCTCCCTAATGCACCAGCGTCCAACCTTTCTTTCTGTCCAAGATGCTCTCTGAAGCATGGAACAGGGAACCATGAAGCATGTGTTTGGTGTCTCAGAGACACCAGGGCAGAGAATGCAGTGGTGTGATTACAGCAGCTCACCTGAGGACACTCCACTCCAGGAAGAAGTGACCATGCAGGTCAGCACAGGCTCAGGGTGCCTGTAAGGCCCCTGAACAGCTTCTGATGGCTCCTTTCCTCCTGGAGTAAAGTAATCTAGCAAAGAGCATGCTAGCATGAGTGATGGCCCAGCTCTAAGCTGGGTTGCCCACCTGAACTGTTTGTGATTTTCAAAGTCCCATACTTGCCAGTCATAACCTATCTTAGTTTCCCTGGGCAAGAAATGCAGGAGATAAGTATGGCTCCTGTGGTGTGAGGAAACTTAACTTCCTGGAACGGGGATCATTAAGAGGAAGAGAAAGAAAAAAACAATCCACAGCCAGGACTTCATTCAAAGATCTGTGATCTACTGGAGCTGTAAGGCTAAAAGCCTGATAATTTTAACAGGATGGAATGAAGATAAGGATTCTCCTGAAGGGTCTTTGATTCTGGAGCTGACCTTCTCTCTCTGTTAGTCTTCCTTTAAGTGCATACTATCTTATCTTCAAAAACATCTTCAAACAGTTCTCTCCAGCTTTTTGGCAGTGATAATTAACCAGATTTTAAAGATTTTTCTCTGGTGGTGATATGGATTGTATTACTAAGCTGAATGTCCTTATTAATAATGGTTTGCATAATTTATGTGTCTAGATGGACACATTAGAAGTACAAACAAATAATTGCAAGTTGTGAATATAGGCTGCATGCAGATTTTCTTCTTTGTTTTGCATTTTTATCTACATATTCCACTCCATCAAAATATTAGTCTGGAATATTAGAGTAGTTCACTTAAGACCAGCATAGTGCACTGCAGCTTTCCTTTAAAGAATCCTTTAACTTGCTTTTCGTATTGCATCCACTATTTTTAGAAAAATGACGAAGTGTCTTGTCTTCCCCCGAGTTTAGATACTCCTGCTGTTCTCTCTTTTGCTTTAGTGTGACAAACCTTAAAGCTGTAAGGGACCTCTGATGATGAAGAAGCTCAAACACTGAGTTCTGAAATGTACTTTTCCAGAAATCACTTTTTTAACTGCTCTACTTGCTATGATGGTAATAGAAACTATTTCTAGAATTTGAATCTGGACTGTTACCAGGCTTCTGTGCTTTGGCCTGACTGGGTCATCCTTTTCAGTTATCATCTTGATAGATTGTGAATTTGTTATTCATCCTGTTCACAAGTAGTAAAAGGACAAGATGGGCTACTTCTAAACTTGCTTCATCGGTTGCTGGGTTTTTACTCTGTGAAGAACACAGAGACTAGGGTTGAGATAATACTGGTAGTGTGGGAGACTAACAAAGAAAAATTCATTGATACAATAAGGTTGGACAGGCTTTACATAGGACTGGTCTCTGTTTCTCAAAGAGTCCTTGGCTATGTCAACACTGGGCTTTGCAAGCTTATCTGTCCAAGGAAATCAGCTTGCAGCAAACTGGAGTTATGGTGCAATGGAAACCCTGCTATGACTGCTTATTTGATATTTTTTAAAGAAGAGGTAATATCCTTTGCTTTCAATGCAAAGGAATTCAGCTTGTGGAAGGAAACCCTCAGCACATACTGAGAGTGCCTGAGCACAGAGCCAGTGTGGAAACCCACATTTCCCACTGTGTAAAGCAGACTTGTGTCTTCAGCGTCCTCAGCAAACTCTTCCCCTAGAGGAGAAGGTCGTTAAGGAACCCCACGTGGGTCCCTTTGCAAGGTTTCTTGTAAACTCTTTCCAGCTTTTATAGGGGTTATTGAGATTATTACATAGCATTGCTATAATCTTAAACTAGCTGGGTAAAAAGCCTAGTTCTCTGCTGGCTCGAATCAGGCCTAGTCATTGACACCTCCACAAAGAGAGTGCCACTTAAGAATTCTCCACCTTCCTGCAACACCGATAGGGTTTTGCAATCATGCGTACTCTTTGCACAAGGATAAATGAGTGAACAGTATGGGAAGCAGGAGAAAATCACCCTTGATTTTTTTGGTTCTGTGTGACAGAGAGAGACAGTGGACCAAAATCCAAACCTTAATTTCTTCTCTAGAAAATTGGGATAACTATGCTTGTATAATTGCCATTTCCATAGAACTGGATTTTACTCTACTCTTCTTACAAATTACATCTAAGCCAGGATATGAGTGGTTCATATAAGCAGAATCTCTTGTAATGATGATTTAAATTATTTAAATTTTGATTCCTTCATACAGTAGTGAAAAATATAGTTAATCCAGTCTGCCATAAAGTGACTATCATATCTGTTCATTTTATTTCGCTTTTGATATTTTACTTGTCTCCATTTAAAGCAACTGACATTTATTTGGAAAAAGAAAGCTAGGACCAGAAGTAAATAATTCCATCTTGGAAAAGACTGTTATGGGCTTTTTCTATGATTTCTTCTCACCAGAAGCTGCATCCACTAAATGGAGTGGTTGTAGTCCTGTTAAAGATAAGACATTACAGACTAACAGGCCTGTCATACACCAGTAGGAACAAATCTTGCTGCATTTTTCTTCTGATATCATTTGGAGTTACAATATTTTGTGAGGTTATGGAACAGATTAGGGAAGCACCGACTCTTATGATTTCAACTGCTGATTAGGACGGGAAGGCAATGAGAGCTTTAACTGAACTTTTCTTTCTTGGGCTGCTATTAGCTTTTTCAAACCAGGGTATTAACAACCTCATCAAAAAGCCAAACAGTGATATAGCGTGTGGGAGACTCCTGCTGAGGATGCTCACAAATAGGAGAGTATATGCAGACAGACAGGAATTTGTCCATAGAGAGAGTGAACTGGTGTTTCTGTGGTTTGAAAGGATGGTGCAGAGCAGAAGTTTTACAGCTCCACACATCTTGTGCATACACACATTACTTTTACATAAAGAGACAAAGATATCTTTATCCGCACGACAGATAGACAAACAGACTGACTGACTTCAAACTTGCACTTTCAGTAGAGATTTCTCCCCCCATCTCCGGGTACTGCTTTTCAAAATTGCCTGAGGCTACAGTACAGCACCTCAGATCCCCAAGGCCCATTGCCTGGCTCCTAATAGCCACTCTCCATCTGTGTCACATGAACAGCTGATGAGATAGCTCCAGTGTCTGTATTTTGGAGAGCATATCCACCCAGGTTAAAATGCTGGGGTTGCCAAGGAGCAGTCAGAAGCCATTAGTGTTTGTGAGAATTTGCCTTGCAGCAGTTCCTTGGCATAGTGGAAAGTGTGTGTGCGCGTGTGTGTGCGCGCGCACACGTGTCTGTGAGAGAGGGGTAGGGTGGAACACATGGGGGGGAAAGAAGGCAGCAGAAAGGAGTGCTTTCTAAATAACTGATATATTGCAAAAGCAAACAGTTGGGTACAGTGTTCAGAGCTTCCATAATCTCTTCAACTACCTTACTGTGGTTTGACTCTCCTTTCTCTATCTTTAATAGAAGAGAAAAAAAAGGCACGAGGAACACAGCAGTGACTTCAGGGTCTTGCTCTGGTGTTTGGGCAGATGGAAAGGAGCTGCTCTGCCTTGGGGCAGGGTGGTTGTAATGAAGTGGCCTGTCAGTCTGTAAATAGTGAGGGTCATCTCTTCCATGTGATGGAGGGTATCACATTGCAGTGAAAATGGAAATGTCAATAAAATTAATCTGCCAGCTCTTTGCTGTGGCTTTTTCTGTCTCTCCAGTCCAAAAGGGTCGGTTTTTCAGAGGGGACGCAGTACAAGAAGGGTGATCTGGCATGGGAGGGAAGATGGAGCTGAAATGCAAGTTTTGAAGCAAATGGACTGTATGTAGCAGCAATGTATTTCGTTTAGTAGCACTACAGATCTAGACGAGGCTATAGGAATTAGCTCATGAATCTATAGCATTCCTCAGGAAGCTATGGAGCGTCTAGCTCAGGCTACATTGAGCACAGAGTTTATTGTTTTAGGCTTTCTTGGACAAGGTTTTTACTTAGCATGGGATTTATGGCATTTACTGCTAATGAATGTCTATTCTTAAATTACAAAAACCACCGTCTCAGCACAATTCCCAGATGTCCTTCCAGGACCTCGGCTTCTTAAACACCAGCAGGGAGCATAAACTCTCCACTTCTCTGTTTTCCTCTTTCGTGTGGCTCCGGGCTAATGATGTGTAAGGAAAACACAGCAATCTATAAAGTCTCAGTGCTGTCCCAGTATTCTTCATTTATTTTGCATTTGATTATGCCACAAGTCGGATCTTGTTTCTTTCCTTTTTTTAAAGTTATTAGTTCAAATATTAATGTAGGAATATGGCATATATTGCTGCTCTTGATTGATGCCTTCCCAAAAACAGGAAGACGTGCTCGTATGAATTTTAAGAAAGTAGGGGTCCTGCAATGCCTTGCCAGAAGAGTTTTTCAGATACATAATTTAGATGCCCTCCAGGCAGGCTTTCAAGGCATTTTTGCTGGAGGGCAAGAAAAAATAACTATGACTGTTAAAAGTAAATGATTTTTGCTAATGCACAATTAATGCCAGGGAAAAGCACAGAAGAGAAGGATGTTGATGGAAAGTTCTGATTAAGTGAGAGCTCTACCTTGATGTGCATCTTTTTATTTTAATGATAATAACCACTGATGCAGAGATGTAGAAGTTTTCATGTCATGCAAATGCTGTGTGCAGGGTCAGACTAGGTGTACGTGTTTGTGAGTGCGTGTGTGTGTGTGCTGGGAGGTGATGGAGGCTGGGAGGGGCTCATCTGACAGTGTGTTATGTGCACTGAACAGTGACATGGTTACTGCCACCTCTGCAGAGGGCCTCGAATATATAGACTACAGAACATTTAACTTGATTACTTATACGTACATATTCAGAATGGTTGTAGGGATGCATTTACAGTAAATGGGTTTTCTTGTGGCAGGTTTTCCCACATTGAATCCCATAATTGAAAAAGAGCTACTGCACTATGTCAAGCACACAATTATAATTGAATTAATGATATATGCATGTGTGAAACACAAAATTAGTATTTGGAGAGACACGGTTTTCTAATTTTTACATATTTGCATCAGCATTCTTATATAATGAGAAACAGTATGTGCCTGATCTAACAAATAAAACCCCCCCAAACTGTGGTAGTGTCTTGGCAATTAATGGTATTTTTTGGCTTCTGTATTTGGTTCATTAAACATCTCTTCCTTCCTGTTTTTCTCTTTGTTGTAGGTGATGGTTTAGACAACAGTGTAGCCTCACCTGGTACAGGAGACGATGATGACCCAGACAAGGACAAAAAGCGTCAGAAGAAAAGAGGCATTTTCCCCAAAGTAGCAACAAATATCATGAGAGCGTGGCTTTTCCAGCATCTCACAGTAAGTGGTGACCAAAATCAAAATAAATTTCTATTCATGTGCCTAATGAGGTTTATTCATCGCTATTAGAAATCAATTATCCCCATAATTTTTTGCCCATTATTAGGTCTCGGGATTCTTAGGATTTGTTGGGGTTTTTTATTAGATTTTTTTTCCTTAGGTTTTGGAATCATGACAAATCTGAAATCTATCTATCTATCTAATCTCTATAGATGTATATATATACACACCCTATAGAAAGAAAAAGAGAGAAAGTACAACACCTTAGCATGGAACACCATCTATATACTAAGTAACCGTTTTTGGCTTTGAACTATTCAAAATCTTCCTGTAGCCAGCAAAAGGGGGATTCTTACTTTAACATATATAAAGCTCTGACTTATGAATTCTTTATTGCTGGCCTCTGTTTACATAAACTTTGTATGTATGTGGTGAAAGAGAGAGCCCTGCTCTGTGTGCATGTGCTGACATACACTGTGGATGTTAGAGAAGTCAAAGCAGCTTGCAACCTTGCCATTGTTACTTTTTTGTGAGGAAATAAAGAAGGCTTACAGATTCCCTGATTTTTCAGTTGTGTAACAGAGAGAATAAGCGCCTCTTTTGCTTCTCTTCAAGGCCATAAATATTAAAACCTAGCCATATTCACATCTGGGGGGAGAGAGATTAAATATGTGAAATAGCAGTGCTTTCCTTGGGCTTTTATTTGTCTGCTTGCTGTTGGTATTGTGTTGGTGTTCTGTTGACTATTATAGCTTCATTTAGGCATCAAAACACAATTCCACAGAAAACCTAGTAAGCCTAGTTTACTTCGTGTGGGAAATGATGGAAACTGGTAAAATTATCAATTTTCTTCTTTCTTGCACTTTGAAATTGTTTCTTACTGATAAGGCTTGAAATGCTAACTGTTATTAACTGCCTCGTCTTCTACTGAAGTTTTATAAATTTCCATGGTTTTATAAATTTCCTGCTGTTGGTTGCAGTGTAATGATTCTGGACCCGATTTATTTATGATAGAGACTATCGAACTGCTCTGCCAGCAGCACAGCTAAAGGGGGAGAGATAGATTCACATTTCTAAACCATCATTTTGATGTAAGGACATTAGTAGCAAACTAAGGTGCATTGATCTGGCCTGTGGGGTCAGGATTAGCTGGAATAGCCAGTGTCTCTGCTGGAGTAGTGGTTATTCCTGCCTCTCAGCTATGGCCATTTCAAAGGTCAGGTGCCCTGTACCCACTTGGCTCAGAGGAATTAGACAGAACATGAGTCTCTGGGCTGATTACTTAACCAAAGACAAAATAATGAGTCCTAAGCAAATACTGACTAATTGAAAGGGCTGTAAATCCATTACATATTGGTCAGGGATAATCAGGAGTATTTAATCACTTTTATCTATTCAGGAGCACTGAAGCTGCAACAGCAAAGCCCTGAACCTTGCCATGTGCTTATTATTCTCATCATTATCAAAATTACTTCACAGCTGTTCTTTGCTACATCACCTCAGCTGGAGATTTACTAACCTGTAAAATGTTTTTAATTTGGAAGTCGAGTGAGTGCGAGTGGAGGGTTTTTCGTTTAGCTGTAGGGTATCTTTACACCAGTAGTACAGGCAGACAGCAAAAAGCAGGGCCACAAATAAACAAGTTTGATTTGTAGACACCTCCATGTTAACTGCATTTCCTCCTATGAAATTTGTGATATCAATTTTTTTTCCTTCCTGCCTTTCTTTCTTATGTGCTCCTTGAAAGCATTTGACACTTGCTTATTAAACAGTCAACTGCCTCTTGCTTCTCTTAAGGAAAGTCCTTCTGGCTTTTTGAAATCCCTTTTCCTTTTTTCTATCCTCTCTCTCCTGACCCTCTCCATCCTGCATGAATTAAGGAAATTTGCCATCACTGGTGAGGATGGCCTCACAAAAATCAGATTAAATGAACACAAAAAAGCCCCAAACCTTTTACCGTCCAGGCTTTAATGAGTTTGCAGGTGTTGAAAGATTTACTGCGCTGTAATTCTCAGACCTGCAAACTGATAATGGAGACCCCTGACCAGTGCAATGTAAATTCAGAAAGATTCTTGCCATAAACACATGCAGGGAAGAAAGAAAACTCCTTTCTTTTAAAGATCTCACACTTTTTCTCAAATTAGCTTGTCCATTCAAAATGTTACTCTGGCTGAGCCAGAACAGGGGAATCTGTGATGTACAATTTTATTGTTTCAAGTAAATATCTTTACAATGACAGTCCATGATTCAATGTACATTCCTTCATTACTACTCTAACCTTATTTCAAATTGGTTTGTTCCTCTTTTGTGCTGTATGACCTGTTCTTGTATTACAATAATCCCCTGATGTACCCTTTTTTCTTTCTCTCTCTCTCTCTCTCTCTCTTTTTTTTATTAAGAAACTAATTGAATTATCTCATTATTTTAATTTGTTAAGCAAATGTATTTTATGTCTCAGGATGTGTTCTTAAAGAAGGAGCTGCTTAGGCTTTGCCCCCTGAATGGGCCATTGGTACATTTTGACATTCATGCATTCATTAAGGAGAGGAACATAAAAGAGCTCTGGTTGTATTTTTTTTTTCAAACACCCAACCAGCATGGAGCAACTTTTCCATAAGCCACAGGGGTCTCTCTACATATGTTCTCAACTGCAAGCCATTGTCACCTATTCTGAATACCTCAAAAGGACAAATAAAAAACTAAAGGCCAACTGTAGCAATTGTTAGCTGTTAGTCTCAATATGACAAAAATCATTAACCTCTGATTTCCCTGGAAGGAGAGGCAGTGGCAGTCCATCTCTTCTGGCATGGATTAAATGTAGAAGCCCTTTAGACTGTCAAATTCCAAGAGTGTAACTCAGATCTGACCAATTGTATTTATTTATGATTTTAAATAAAATGCTATTTTTTTTTCCTTTATTCAATCAGTTTGCAAACTCCTAAGGCAGCCCGTTTTAAAAATTGAATGGCCTAAGTGGCTTTTTTGAAGAGACAGGCACTTGAACTCTGATGTAGAATGAATGTGTCTGACAGGCTGTGTCTTTCAAAACAATTTCTAACCCCTATCACAGCTTCCATTTTGTAGTAACTTTAATTATATTTGAAATAGGATACACATGCATGTTTTTATTGTTGGAAATCAAATGCAAAGAGTAAGAGCTTCTGTCATGTTCTCGTTCACTTACTGAGCTCTGTCTTACATTTGAAATTACAACACTACCGGAAGATAAAAGATCTGAGGATGAATTGGTTGGAAATGCTTTTTCTGGATAATATCCAGTGTTTAAGAAAGTAGAGGAAATCCTAGTCTGGTAGTATAATCTTTTCAATAGTACATAAAGATTACGACATCAGAAAGGTAAACCTGACATTAAGACTGTTTTTAGTTGAGTTCAAAGGTGGTTAAAGAAAAGAAACAGCAAGAAATCTGACCCAAGCTGAGAGTTTATTCATAGCTTTGGAAGACTCCTTTTCCTCTATGCTAAGGAGTTCTTAGTACACTCAATTAGCCTCTCAGACATCACTGCTTTCCTCCCTCAAGTGCTCCCCTATTTGCCCTGCAAAGAACATATTTGATCACAAAGTGAAAACAGGAAGTGCTCAAATGTATAGATACATTCAGCTTACACCAGTGCTGAAATTAGGATTTCTTACCAGCAACTATAGAGCTGGTCCCCCTCCTTGCATGCCCTTTTGAGGGATGGAGGACCTTTAAAATATATATACATAATCAGAAGAAAGTTATAAAGGAAGTAATTATACCACTCTATGGGCTTGTACCTCTGGTAGTTCATCCATTTCTGCAGCAGTGTGCCAAAGACTACATTTTTACTACATTCAACATTTTTTCACCTTTTTTTACCAAGCTGGTAGAACAGAGTCTCAATTATGCTTTGACACTTACCTGGAGGGATGCCCTTTGTTAAAATTCTATTTTGGTTGGGTTTTTTGTTATAGTCTTTAAGAAGATGTGTATCATATCTAATAGTACCAAATTTACCAATGCTAGCTTGCAAACTAAAGCTTTCTTAATGAAAATGCCTAATTCCCATCTGATGGTATTTGGGATGTCTTCTCTAAAGCCAGAGGAGCTGAGCTATTTTTTCTGCTTTTTTTTGCTAGCTGAAGTTCTGTTTTCTAACTTTGAATAATGTCATTTTAGCCTGATTTCCACAATCTTCTGGCTGAAGATTTTGCTCTTTACACAGTTTACTGTAGAATATATCTTGGTTTTATCTGTTTCATTGTCAGGCTAGAGTAAGTTCTCCTGGAAGGTGATAAAATGAACCAGCCACAGCTTTTGTACTTACCTGAATTAATTTTCTTAACTTGTTGCATTCAGGTGTCCAGATTGGATAATATGAATAGTCTCACTGAAACAGATTTTTTTTTCTGTATTTATGTGGGTGTATCTGAGAATAAAATGTGTATATATCATATTTTGATGAATGGCTTATCAAGCCTTTTATACAGGGCAGCTATTTTATTTATTCATTAGATTTGATTCTAGAGATGGATGTCATCAACCAAAACTAATCTTAGTGCAAGTGTTCAAGGAAGTTGAATCCAACCCACCTTCAAAAACATCTTTTTCCATATTTTATTTTAGTAATAATACCTTAAAGAAAGGTTACAAATATAGCTGGCTGTTGCACTCCACACTTTCACATCAAACTGCAGAAGAACAGCTTTACTGAGGTGTGATCTGGGTGAAGCATTCTTCACATTGTTGTTTTTCCTCTACTTTAAAAAACCAAAACCAAACCCAAAAATTCCACAGACCTCTGTCCAGTTAAAATGGCAAGAAGGCTGGGGGACTCCAGATAATGCAGGAATGTGCAGTCATTCTAGTGAATTTTAGTGTGTGTGTTGGAGGGCATTGTAACATGCTATAGCCTCCAAGAGTTCACACAGGAGATGGACAATGTCCTGTGATTCTCTGTAAAACTACCTGCACATGTGTTTGCGTGGCTGCCATCTCCACCTCAGGGCACCACGGGG